GGGGGTTGGTTTTAAATTAATCATATTTGTCAAACAACCACCACCACCTTGTGTCGTGGGTAGGTTTTTCTCGGCATCATATGACTTATGCGACCTGCTCGCGTGTAACGTTTATATTTTAATTGAGCAGTGGCGTTGGCGTGACTGAAAACAAATTAGAAGCAACGAGGTCCAAAACAACAACCAACTGCTGTACTCTGGTCAATTTCGCACTGTCCAAAGGTTTTTTTGAAAACTACAAAAAGGGTCGGTCGGGTTAAAGAGGTGAACGTTGGGAGGGGGTAGGGGGAAACCATACGAGAACTTCCGTCTGGCCGGACAGACGGTTTTTTTTTTGCTTTTCACTTTCCTGCAAATACAATTCTCAAAAACCGTAGTCGATCAAAGAGAGTTAATAAACTTTTTAGCATACCCATTTTTTTTTTTTTGTTTTTTAACAAAAACCCGCGCCGGGTTACCGAATTTGATTAATTACACGCGGCCCAAAGAATCCGTGTGTCTGGTGGTGGTAAGCAACAGAGATTAGTCACCCTTTTTTTTTTTGGCAGCCGCTCTCCACATTATATTTTTACTTTCAGCGTTATCCGCTCGACCGAAATTACCGCGGTCGAGTTGTTTCGATTGAAATGAATTAGTTTAAAAAAAAAAAAAAAACACAGGCAAAAGGGTCGTCGTTTCGCGATATAGGCAGCAGTTTAGCTAGCTAGGTAGATGACGATGATGGCAAAAAAAAAAAAAATAAAACATAGCCATCAACTTAGGTAGGTAGAGGTATAGCGTAACAATTTTTAACCCTTTTAAAGCAAAAGTTTTGATAAAATGTTGCCAATGTCGTTTATAAAGACGTCGCTACTAAAAAAAAGGCCGTTTCATTCAAACGGTTTTTTTATTTTATTTTTTTCAAAAAAAAAAAAACCACTCCGACGGACGAATGATTAACAGCTGTTCGAACTTTGTTTTTTTTTTTATAGTACAAAAAAGTTGTATCATTATTCATGAACTGATATTAACCTTTTGTAAAAAAAAAAAAAAACCCCTCCCCCACACACAGAATTTATATGATGTTTTGGGTTTGAGTAGATGGAAATTCAAGAGTTACTCTCATCAATTATACATATAGTAGCATCCATTTGTTTTTTATTTTCAATCCTAAAAAATTAAACGATCTACCGAAAAAATATCGCTGGATTTTCGCATTTAATCTTTCTCCTTTCATTTTGAAACACACAAAGAAGAAATGCTCCAAAGTTCAAAGATGAAAACATGGATTTTCAACAGCAAACTTTGGCCCAACAGTACTCAAGATAAATGGCTGACTCGTATAGTACAATAAAATGTAATGCATAAAATGAAAAAAACGCATTTTTATTATAATATATTTAATCCAATAACGGAATTTTTGGATTAAAAGTTATTTTAGAAACCTTGAATTTTAATTTTAAATTAACTGCAAAGACTCTGATAGTACTCTCCAAATAATTTTCAACCGATTGGGAAAGAGCATTATGACTTTATAGCGTCACAACTTCAAATTCAGCTTACCAATTAGTTAAATAAGATGTTTCTCTGCATGGTTATCCCAAAAATCGAAGGACTTAAAATATATTAAAAACATTAATTTTCTGCTATACTGCGTTGGTAATAAATTGCACACAGTCTAAAATGATAATTTCATAATTAATGTAAATACTACCGTTGTAAAATTTAATTATCTCGCCGACTGCCTGAAATGCTAATTGACAATATAAATGATCTTTTGTGTTTTTTTAGCGGCTGCCGCATTCAAAATGAACTCAAGTCGCTCGACTTAGCACTTTAGTAATGAATTATTCCCGTCATTAAATTTTGCAGTATTAAAGAAAGATTAAGGTGAGCATTATAACAACGGTCAATGGTTATGAGAAGACAATATACATTTTGAATGGGTATTATGCTAAATTATTTTAATCAAAAACGATTTCAGACTCTCAGGGGTTTTTTTTTTTGAAGTATAAATACAAATTTGTTTTCACATTTCACAACTTGATTTTTCTTATAAAAAATGTTGTTTATTTGATATTTGTATTGTTTTCATTAAATTCTAATATGGACACTGTTGAAGTTCTCAAGTGTTATTTAAGTATACAAGTAACATCGTACACGCTGAGTTCCACTTGTCGAACATGTGGTTTTTTTTAATAACTTAAAAATATTTTAATTATCCGATCATTATCACTTGAGTTGTTCTTTCAAAAAAATAACAGAAAGTCAACGTTTAAAAGTTTCCATTTTAATAATTAAAAACGTTTGGTACCAAATGAAGTAAAAGAAAAAATATCAACAACAAAGAAGACGTTCATAAATCACCTTTACCTGCGTTATTGTGTTGGAAAACATTGCCATTGTATAAACTTTTCGAAAATACCGAAAATTAAAACATTAGCTTTTATTATTTTTTTTCTATATATTACCATTGTTTGGGTAGGTATATTATTAGTCTCTTTTTTTTTTTACTTGAACAAATTGGCAAAGCTGTACTGTGAATCATTCTATACAAAACAAATTAAGTTAAAATACCTCAATTTTGTTTGAGAAATTCTCATACAGTCTTACAAAAATTGTTAATAATTATTTAATGTTTAGACGTTAAACTAAAATAATAGTGTTCAAATAACCCATAAGTATTTATATATTGAGGGGTCAACACTAAAACTATGTTGATGCAAATCCTATTGTATTGTTGTTGGATGTTTTTTACACTTTGTATGGAATCTATATAAAAGCTATTGAATTCAATAATAAAACTGAATCTAAATTAGTTAATTTAAAATTTAAAACCATTTTTTATGACTTTAAAAAATATTCAAAATGAATAAGCTATTAATGAATAAAAAAACAAAAATACCTTCTCAGCTTCTCTTTTAGTGAATGCGATGCTGATTTTTAACTAGAGTTAATTTTTTGAATAATTACATGAGCTTAAAAATATTTCCACATGTAATATATATATATCTAATAATTAGGTAATATTTTGTTTAGAAAATGCACATAATTAACTTGATTATAATTAGCAGATTTGAAAATAGAGTTTTTAGTGAATGTTTTTTGCATTAATTAAATTTTTTTTTAATTATTAGCACATTCGGATAATAAATTCCACAAATTTCAGCGACCAAAAGGTCATCGCGCCGTATTTATTATTATATGTCATGCCATAGTTACAGACGTTCAATGTTATTATTATTCTAAAAACAAAAATACCAGTAACATTGTACAACAGGCCATTTCGTTTTTGTAGATAAGTTTAGGTATTAAATAAATTAGTTTCCACAAAACTTTTTATTGTCGGTCGGTTTAACCGTAAAAGACTAATAATATAATCCTTGTAATTTTTTTTTTATAGCCTTTATAAATATACCTAATCCTATTAGAATTCAGGATTTTGGATATTCGCTGATAAAAGATAAGAAAGTGATAAGAGATAGGAAGAGTGATAAGAATTTCCATAATGCCAATCAATTATTCACTTTAGTTTAAATATTTAATTTATTATTTTATATAGATATATCTAATAAGATTTGTTTATATAACTTTTTTTTTTACTGTATAGAGTGTAACCAACAGAAAGACAATCCATAAATTATTAAAGTCGTTGAACCTGAACGATTTTAATTGCCTCGGACAAAATACTTTACTTAGTTGTACGTATTGTTCGATACTGGAAATTTGTTTATATTTACACGATTGCTTTGAAGGGGGAAAAAAGGTATTGATCCTCACTATCTAAGTACCCAGAAAGATACTTAAACAACGAGACCGAGGAATTATGAACAACAACAATAACGCAATTAATGGTTTCGCTGATTTAGTGAAATTTCGTAACGCACCACCAATTTATTATAAAAAGGAGGAAAAACAGATAAAATAATGATCAAAGTTTTTCTTTGACGACGTTTCTAACAAGAAGTTCTCACAGTTGCCTTGTAAGTGACGCTTTAGAGCCTTTGGGAAGTATTTTGTTTTATTGTGGCAATACTGTTGTGTACACATTATTTCGTGTGTATTCTACTGGTTTTGAGTTTGTTCTTGCCACTAGTACGGTTTCAAATAATTACACTTATAATACATGACTCGACTTCCTTTTGGTACAAGCACTGTTGATTTTAGGTTATACTCTGTAAAGTGTACTTGTCCCCCTTTGCAAATGATTGTGGTTAGTTTAAGCGAAATAAATAAGAGACAATAATTATATTTGTTACTGACTTTGTAGGAAATCTGTGAGTCAGGTCGTACTGCGATGATAATAAAAGTTTTTACGTCCTGAGACCGGCAGTGTACACTGTAGGTAAGTACACACACAAACACACTGAAGTTGAAGTTTAATTAGTGGGCTAAATGTATACATATATATATAGGAGCAGCATAATTAAGATTTTTATTTTATTCCAACGCTTTGCTTGCTTTATGTGGGGCTTATACCTTTGAGTTGCTACGATCTTTACAGTCTTGATTTTATGTGAAAGGTTTTTTTTTCATGATTATCTTAACATGATTGTCTGCAAAATGTGTTAAGAAATGTAAAAAAATGTTTTAATATGTAATTGAAGTATTTTATTTTATTTTTGTATGATTTTTGTAACGTTAATCAAAACCATAATAATAATATTATGTAAAACGTTTTAAAATAAAAAACGTTTTTAAAATATACTATAAACATTTTTAAATAATACAAATCTTTATAGTTTTTAAATTTTACTTGCCACTTTGATCTAGTGTGGAAAATATATATATTTTTTTAAATTGTTATATTAAATCGCGAAAAACTATTTCAATCCTAATCTTATCCACCCTAACACTAAAAATAAATTTTCAAGCACATTATTGTTAATAAGTACAATGTTTTTTTGTTATGTATCAGAATATACTTATTTATTTTGTAATACTGTTTGCTGTTAATATATTTGTAATGGTTCAGTACACTCATTAAACGTTAATTAAACTTTAAAAAAAAAGGAAAACTTATTACCTCATTTGGTAGTTATGTGTTCGACTGACGTCGTCATATTTGTGATAAGTTGCTTGAAAAAGTAAATAACTTTCTTCCCATTCGACTTGGACCCGTAGCTGTCCTTTGTCCGTCAGAAACGGGCAACCAGATTCGCGAAGCTAAACAAAAATTAAATCAAAATATTATTTATAAGCCATAAGAACGCGCAATTTGTATAATTTATAGACAAACAGAACATAGTCTTACTAGAGAAAATGGTTAAAAATAAAACAAGCATAATAATTATATTTGCAGGGAAACAATGAGCTGTTGGATTGTTTTAAATATATTTTCATATTAACATAATTACACAATTTAAACAATTAATAATTATTAATGGAATACTTGTGTCACTTGAATTTTATTTTCTGGCGAAATAAGATTTAAAAATATTTTTACAGTATCAAAATAGCATTGAAGCTAAAATATTGTAAACATTTTAATAAAATACTATAGTGTGATTGTTTTAATGATAGAGTAACTTATTTTCACCCAAAAATAAAACTTCAAATGCAATATTTTCTTTGGAGGAAAGACATTGGGACCATAAAAATGTCTTTTGGATTTGATAACGATTTTCTGCTCTTATTATTAATTCCTTAACCTCCGATTGTCTTATCAATCATATCTTATCAGCTGATTATTTTATCAGCCGTGTATCTCTAATGTGTTATTTAGGAAATATCACTATCTCGTCCTCTACCTACTACCTCCCCTCTCCATATCCCATCTTCTCCGATCATAAGACATGTTTATGTCAAAATTAAAATTCAATAACCGCTTGTTCAAAAACATATTATTTAATTAAATTTGCATTCGAACAAGCGATGTCCGTCTCTGAACAGTGACAAATTTCAAATGACATTTTAACCGGCCCGTTCAAAATAAAATAAAAAAATTGCAATGCCATTTATTCACATCGGGCGAAGACGGACCTTATCGACATGTGCACCGGATGCAGTGGAATTATCGACAACCGTTTTAACTTCTACCGACAGGGTCTCACGTCCAACACAGACACCAAGTCATCTCGTCGGTGGTTGACTAGGAAATACCTTTTCAGAAAAAGGCTTTTATTGTCACTCACATCACGTTTTCGAATTATCCCAACGCATTTGCACCGTAACGTGTATTTTTCAATTCGGAGGTTGATCATTTTCCGTGTATTCTTCCTGACCGCACAGTCGCATACCAATTAACAATATTGTTTCCCTGGCGCAAAATAATAATAATAATTCTAGCACAGACTATAATATGAAAACGGATAGCTCACTGGGTCGAAAACAAGGGAAATTTGTAAAAACACTGATTAGAAGATACCAGAGTAGCCGCATGAGTTTGTAGAAATTATTGTGCAGATATTTTACAATATATTATCGTACAAACTTCTCATCAGTCGTCGTACGATTTAAACGATAACAGATTAGATAATCTCTTTTTATCTTATCTGTGATATTATTATGAAATTGTATGCTTGAATGGTCACACTGATTTCATTTCGAGTCGTGTGACGTCATGGTTTTTGTTTACATGCTTTTGTTGCTCGTGTTACACTTTTTGTAACTTTTTAAAAACTAATTGTTTTTCTAATTTGAACGTTTAGTGGTCAAACTAATTATCGCTGATATAATATAATGTACACAAAAATGTGTTTCAATATTTATCTAGTATTTAAAATACTTTTTCAATTGAACATTTAAATAGTGTTAAAATTATTTATTCCCAGCTATTTTAAATCTCTACTTTTATTTAAACACTTCTAATAAAAAATAAATTCTTATTTCTTACCCATCATCACAGTTCTGCGAATATTTTTTGTTGTTTTCACTTTCAACCGGATTTAAGTAGATTTTAATGCGCTTAGTTCAGATTTAAAAATCGTTTTCCTCGAGCACGTTTGGATTTTTTTTTTTTACTGCTTTCAAAGTTGTAAACAACTTGTTTTTTTATACTTTTAGCGTGTTGTGTATTTTGGTGATTTAAAAAAGAAAACATGTGGCGGAGACAAATTAGGATTCAATAAAAACAAAATCTTAAATATAAATATATTTTTTTTTAAATCACATTAACAATCAACACAAAATTAGTTTTGAAACATAAACACACGTTTTTCTTATTTTACAGAATACAGTATGGACAAATTAAAATTACAATATTTTGCTATACCGAAATTGAAATATTAATGTTATTCAGGCATTAAATAAGTAACTAAGTTGTCGTTAGGCTGTAAAACTAAGAAAAATCAAACAGTTAACGTAGGATTATTCTTGTAATCTTATAACTGATAATTGTTTTATTCAAATAAACTCAGTCTTGTAAAATATAAGACATTTTTTAAGTGCTTGTCGCTATAGATAAAAATAATAACAACTATTTAGCAAAAATCCAAGGAATAATAAAATTTGACGCGGCGTTAAAAAATAAGTTAGATTTGTGTCCTAAGGATTCTATTTCAACTACAAATAACTTAGGTCATAAAATATTGATTTTAGTTCTTCACATGAAAAAAAAAAAAATTACTTTTAACTCATTTGCATCAAGTAAAATTGTATGTAGTCAATCTTACATAAAAATACAGTGTTTATGCTTAAATAGGAAAACGTTTAATGACTGATGTTCAAATCATAATAACAACCATGTGAAAATAACTGTGCAATAAAAATCGTTATTATTATGATTGTAAATATTATTTAACGAAAAGACAAATTATCATTTAATTTCTGTTCATTGGGTTTATTATTCTTGTATTTCGAATTCATTTAACGTGAACATTTTTTACTGAATGTAAAACATCTATTTACCTATATATTAACGTAATGTTATAAATAATTATTAACAACGCAAAAATGTCGAGAAATTTAATTAACCGAGGGTTCTGTAACAGAAGAGCATCAAAGTTGGTTACCATCTCAAACAAAAAACTATCAAGCTCCGCACATCACATCAGCTACAGCTAATATGTATAATAATATCCAAAGGTCAAAGCCTTTCAGACGGCCAACCCTTTTTTACATTTTTTGAACATCCTCTTCTCTACTTAAAACGACTAAAATTTAAATAATTTAAATTCCTCCCCGTCTCTCGACATTATACTAAATTGTATCAGTTTTAAAAGACTGACCAATTTAATGATATGTTTACTAAGTCGCCATAATGACATCTGTTTTTCGGTAAAAAAAAAGTGGGCAAGACCTCAGCTGCACGGAAGTACATAGGAACATGGACATGTCTTAATATACAAGTATAGGACCCTGGTACTTTCTAATATCAAATGTTTTATCTCTAATGTCTTACCTCACCTCCAGCATCCATCTCGACCATCTCAACATCTAGCTGGACCATTTCTCATCTTCCCCTCCTCACCACCAGTATCTAGCTGACCATATCTAAACTCTAATTAGTTATCTCTATTTTTACATGTAATAAAACTAAAAACGCTATATGATTTCTGGCAACAGCTTAAACCAATTTTACTAAAGTTTGTAAAACGAAATTCCGACAGCCAATGAATTCAAAAATGCAAATTCAATATAAACTTAATCGACGGCAAACCCATAAAATAAAATATAATCTTGTGTTTTCGCTTTGATGATAATGCCCAGGTGTTGGCGTTTCCATATTTTAAGTGTTTTATAATAACGAGGAATGCCTGTTATTTGCTCGAACATTACAATATTATCCATTTGGTTTTCATCCACTTTTGACTTGTATTTATGCTTTATAGTTTTACATTGTATTTTCGATGATATTACTTTTGGTATTTTGCACAATACAACGTGCTGGGAATTTTATTGTCCTGATATTTATTGAACAGAATAGCTTACAACTTCGCAGAACATATTTTGTTGAAACCCGTTTTTGCGATCATTAAAATTTGTATTATTTATTACTAATACTCTATTCCTATTTCAATACGGTGTAGACATTTTTAATCAGTAAACGATTTAAATAAATACTATTGTAAAATATAAATTAAATTGAAAAATTCTTCCGAGTCACACGTCCGAGTTTGCAACAAATGTTAGTTTCATAAATAGTATGTATAATATTTTTTAAATATTTTAAATTGTTGTTTCGACATTTGCCAAACATTGTAGTTTTAGCAGAGGAAGTATTGGCGGCACAGAATAAACAGGAAAGAAACTATACAATGGGCTCTTATGGGATGAGATAAAATCACGTCGGACATCTTGAAAATTATCAAGAAATGGACAGTGCTGGCATGTGTAGGGAAATTATGATTTTTCGTTCATTCCGACTAAACTGTTCACTTGATAAATAAACGAACAGTGTAGCCACGAATTACAACAAAATTTTAAAAAAATATCTGAGTTTTAGCATCATTTGTTAAATCTCAATATGTCAGACCGTATTTTAATAAACTATAAGATTCCCTCCTTCTGCTTATTCTGTGGTATTGGTTTAATCACAGACGATATGAAAACAGAGGGCTCACTCCGATCTGGAACAAAGGCAATTTTTAAAAATACTGATAAGAACTGCGCGAAGGTATCAGTATAGCCGCGTGAACTAATATACATTATTGTGCAGTTATTTTACAATATTATTGTACAAACTTCTTATCAACCATACGATTTAAATGATAACTGCTATATTATAATTTATAATGAAACGCATTACCTACACGAAATTTTATACCCGAATCTGTGGTCATATTTCATATAGTCTGTGGTTTAATTATGATGTGTTTTTGTATGGTTTTTTTGAATTGTTTTTTGCCCTATGCTAGTTAGAAAACCTTACATAAGAGCTTATTATTAGATTAAATTGCAATAGTTTTGTTTGCTGGATTCATTATGAATGTTTTTGCTGTTCGGGTAACAATTATGGTACTAATTGTCATTAGTCGGTCGCTATTAGGTTTTCTTGTATTGTTTGTGTGTAATCGTTTCGTTGTACACTCAACGAAAAATAGTAATCAATTTGAACGAACATTATTAATTTTCAACACTAAATAAAAACTTTCATTGATATGAAAAAAATTCTGTCAATACGATAAACGAAATTATTACTTTAATATAAATTGATAACCAAACAAAAATGTTTTGATACATTTATTATTGATGTAGGTACAATGTATTTATTAAATTAGTGTAAT